TCAAATTTGAATATCTTAGAGCTTGATGATTTTAGATTTTTTTGGGATTTTGAGATTTTTTTAGACTTTTGGATATTTGGAATGACATTGGAAATTATTTGAAATGGACCCCTCCGTTAGATTTTGTTCAACCGGCCTATCGGGTGTGGGTCATTTTTTTTATTTGAACCTTGTCAACTCTGTCTGGATGTCGACAGAGAGTCGGGGTTCGGTATGTTTATATCTTGTGAGAATTTCTATTGATTTTAACTTTGAAGGCCTATTATGTAATGTATGAAAATAAATACACGGTAACGTCCTCACAACTACTTTATTATGGTTTCTGAACGCCTGTCGACTTCTATTTGATCCGTATAGAAAATTCGGTATCGGGACTTGAATTCACTTTGTCATCCCGCCAGCATCCCTAGGCCTTACGTGTGACCAATAACACCTCGCCCGGCATGCGGTCGAGATCGTATTTTCCCCTTAGTGTACCATGTGTATACAAACAGGTGTATGTTCAGGGGGATTATAAATATTAAGTTTGGCAAGTATATTGTAATTTAATGCACACCATTCTAATTGGAGATTGTATACGCTTCTGTCCGCTAGTACATGTTGCGGATTCGGTGCGGGGCGTAAGCTTGAATAAAGTTTGTCGCTGCTTTGTACAGGTAGATCTGTTGTACACTACTCGTTGCATTCTACGTGGTTTGAGTGACTCAATCTAATCTCCTGCTTTTGTTTGTTGATACTTGCATTATTATGACATTAATCATTCAACAAATGGACTACTTATATTATTGAAAACTACTTTATGTTTGTTTGAAGGTCTTTGACAACGATCTATAGGAATTTGTATTTGTTGGCAGTCTTGCGACATTTCTGCTATCAGCTACTGTCGAGTAATCAACATGTTGTGGTCAAATGACATTATTAATTTTGCTTGACTTATCAAGCAATGTTATGTTGATAGAATGCTATTCATGCATATTCCTTGATGCGTTATGGCCCTTCATCCATTTGAGGTACAATGATTGTCATTTTGAGCTTTTGTCATGTTTGCTTGCTAGCTCTTCCAGTGTTTGTATTGCATCTTGATTAACATAAGTCTCAAATATTTTTGAAAGCCTCAATCTTTTGAATGTAGGATTTCTATGAATGCTACACACAAAAACATTCATTTGTAGGTTCGATTCTGCATAACTGATATATGCTAACACAAGTCATCGTCATTTTAGGTGATCATTGCTTGCATAACTGATAGTTGAATGACTCACAAGTCATCGCATTTGTAGTTGATCATTGCTTGCATAACTGATATGGGATGCTACACACAAGTCATCGTCATTTGTAGGTGACTTATGAAGTTTTGAAGGCTCCAATCTCCTTGTCACATATCATATCTTCTCTTACTATGTGTATCTATAAGTAATTCATTTGCAATAATTATTAGCTTGGATGCTTATTGTGTAGTTGAAAGATCCTTTGTTATTGATGTGAATTGGTCATTTACAGACTATCACTACAACCATTCTCAAGTTCTTTGTAATGCTTGAAAGTGAATTTTCATGTATATATAAGTACATGTTTCCACTTTATTGCATTATTTCATAAAAGCATTTAGTTTGAATTCTTTGCTAGTTCATCATTCATGCAATTTATCAAGATCCCAATCATTAGTTCAACCTAATCAATTCGAGCTCTGGTCTTTTTTTAAACTTTACTTACCCATTGCTATCCACTTGAATGCATTTCCACAAACTCCTGCATTGAGATTGTAAGTGGATTATTACTTTTGCATTTGGCTAGGAATTCATAGACATCATACTCATCTTGCTCCCACAAATGAGTTATTGTGCTTATAAAGAAAATTAATCATGTTCATGTCAACAATCATGTGTGTGTATTGCCCTTCTTCAACAATCCATTCACTAGTAGCTTCTTTTTAAAACTTCATAAATTTGTGAGTTGATTGATATAACCCTCTAACTTCATTTTGTAGTCCTGTTGGCTCATCACAACCTTCACAAATTTTTTATACTTAAAGTGAGATCATTGCTTACAGGAGGATTGGCAACATGTGTGAGATTCTATATACAACCTTTCATTACGATTATGAACAAATTATAGGTCCATATGAGATTTTAACATAAATTTATTGTTTGTCCTCGAGTCAACCAAATGTTAAGTTCAAGATCTTATGATAATTTCTTATATCCTATCAAATATTCAATATGTTCTAAGTCATGCCATCTGTTATTGCTACAAGTTCAAGTATATTGTTTAAAACGATGTGTGGTCTAAATGTTATATCTACTGAGTTCAAATATTAAGTCTTGCAGATGATTCACATTTTATTTTGTAAGTAACTCAATATTTTAAATAAATTCGGCAGCACTCGCTCGTTCCCCTGCGTTAGGGGCTGCAATGGATTAGGTCCCCGCCTGCCAAGAAAGCACACGGAGTCGGACACCGGGGCCCGCAGTTTTATCCGCTCGCAAGAAGCGTCACCCGGGGTGCTTTGAGCGCAGATTAAATATAGCTTTTTCCCGCTCCATAAAACCATGACGATACTGATTAATAGCATTTGTTTTTTACAAATAACAAATTTCTCCGCCTGCTAAGAAAAGCAGTCACGGGTACTTATATTTTCATGCATACGAATTTCCCCGCTCGCTCAGTGCGTCACGGGTACTTAAGTTTTTTTTTTCCTCGCCCGCTAAGAAAAGCGGTCACGAGTACTTATTTCATGCATAGAAATGTAAATACTAATTTTTACCTTGGGTATGCAGCAATCGAGGCGGCGACGGCGGATGACGGCGACGTAGGAACCTGCGATGCATAATTAAAAAAAAAATTTACTTGTGCAATTTAATTAATCATATTTTTATTTAAAAAAGAAGCTAGAGAGAGAAAGAAAAGGAAGAGAGCTCTCTTTCTAGAGAGAGAAAGAGAGGGAAAGAGAGGATTTTATGGGTATTTCTTGTGGAATGGGTTTAGAGTGTGTAGGAGATTAGGGGAGTGGAGTTAGAGAGAGAAAATCTCTCTTTCTCTAATTTTTGGAGAGAGAAAGAGAGAAGGAAACTCTCTTTCTAGAGAGAGAAAGAGAGGGGAAAGATAGAATTTGAGGGGAATTTGCATAGATAAGGTTTAGGAGGTGCAAGGAAGTGAGAGGAGAGATTTAGAGAGAGAAATCCCTCTTCTCAATTTTTGGAGAGAGAAAGAGAGAAGGAAAATTTTTTTTCTCTCTCTAGAGAAGGAATTTGGAGGTATGGTGGAGAGGGAAGATGCTTAGGGTGGAGATGGAGCTATTCATGAAGAGATTTCACTCTCATTCTAGAGAGAGAAAATTTTCTCTCTAGGTTAGAGAGGGAAAGTGGTGGATGAAAAAAATTTTTTGTTGGAATGGTGTAGGAGAAAAAGGGTTGGAGGAGGAAGAAGAAGATGAAGGAGAGGAAGGAGAAGAGAGGGGAGGAAGAAAATTGAAGGAAATGGTGGAAAACTTGGGGGATGAAAAAAGAAAAAGAAAAATGGGAGAGAAGAAGAAGAAGAAGGAAGGAGGAAGAAGAAGAAAATGGAGAAGAAGAATGGAGGAGGAAGAAGAAAAGAGGAGGAAGAAGAAGAATTTTACCTTGCTTGGAGGAGGGAAGAGAGGCCGGCTGCTTGAAGAATCGCAAGAGGAGAGGGAGTTCGCGGCTTGGAGCGTGAGTTTGGCGTGAGAATGAGAGGAGGGCTCGGTTTGGGGATATGAGAGTGTGAGGGGTATTTTAGGAATTTTTTTTATTAAAAGAAAATTCGTTTTTTATTTAAAAAAAAAGCTCTCCCTCTCTTTTTTTTTAAACTTTTTAATTAGATTGCACAAAAATAAAAATAAATTTTTAATCTTGCATCGAGTTGGTCGTCGCGTCGTCACTCGCACAAGTCGTCGTCTCGATTCGCGCGCCCAAAATTTAAATTTTCGCCGACCGTCGACCCCCACCAATATGGGTGTCAATCTTAGCTGTTTTCGTTGCTCCGGACGCATCGGCGCTGTCCATTTCGCAAACAGAGATTCATCTCGGTGATTTTAAGTTTTCGGTCGACACGCGTTGGGTGAGTTTTTGCGCAATTTCGAGCTTTTTCGCTTTTGAAACCTTCCTTGCGCGGTCGACTCGATCCGACACTAGTATTAGGGTCAACAGTCACACAGTACTCTTCATATTTGAATATCAAGTGATAAGTTATTATATGATAAGTAAATGACACTATTTAAAGCAAATGCATGGTGAGAAGAAAGCAAAATAACATGAGATATAGGAGTGCATGGATGTGCATGATGTATGATGAGTTCACCCGACTATGATACTAGCAAGGGACGCAATGAACCTACTAGCACAAAATAAAAAGATTGCCTACCCTTACTGGTTAGGTTGCAAGATGTTAGGAGATGATGTTTCTTTCATGGCACAATTTAGATAGCATTCTGGTAATGTATGCATTATAAGATAAGTTCATATATTGAAATGATTAAAAAAAAAAAAGCTAATAGTCTCCTTGTCCCATCAATAATGAGACAAATGCATCTTCAATTCCTGGCAATGGTAAAGTTATATGCTATGAACAAAGATGTGCATGCATATAGTTTTCTAATTCTAGAATTAGAATGATATAGAAATGAAATTAGGCATTGGGTTGTTTAACTCATCTCATTAGTTATAATTACTTTTGAAAAAAATCATCTCTAAACTAAATGCGTGAAAGAAAAGAATACCACTACAATAGAAGAAAAACACTTTGAGTTAGGTGTTGTAAAAATTAAATGTAATAGTTTGTGTTAGTCTTTTTGGATAATGTATTATGTAGATAAAAAATAAGTTGTAAGAGTGATGTGAGGAAGTTTAGATTTTTTGTCGGTCTGTTCATTTCTGCCGTGATATTCCAAGCCTTGGACTGAGTCATGCAGATCCAGTAGGAGCACACTAAAGGATTCGAAAAAGAAATTAAGGCTTTAAGATATTGTCTACTAAGGATGATACCTCTGATAGATTTTCTAATAGTTTGACAATTTCATAATTTGATGTATTGAGTTTCTCGCTTAGAGATTTCTCTTTCAAGGCCCAAGCTGATTTTTCTACCTCCACCTCCAGAAGGGCTTCAGTAAGTTGCTGCATCAATGAACGAATAATTGTTAAATAAAAAGGATAATTTATAAATAAAAGAACAGAGGGGATGTAGTTTATTTGCATAATTATCTTTAGTACCAAAATCATCTCTTCTTTCTCCCTTGAGAGCAAATTGACAGAATCTTCAAATCCTTTAGAAGAAGATACAGAATCAGTCAACCTTTGTTCCTGCAAGATAAAGCTGCTCTAAATTATCTAAACAGCAAATCAAACCCAATTGAGAGTTCAAGCAACAAGGTAAGCAGAAGCTTTAGACAGAAAACAACTAGTACACACGTGACCATTAAGCTCAAAGAATCAGCCATAGACAGTTAGGCATACCATTGTTCTAAGCTCCTCCTTCAGCAATCCCATTTCAAAATATGCAGTGTTCAATTTGTTATCCATAGCTTCTAACTCAGAGTTTAAAACTTCATTTTTGACATATGCTTCTTCTTTTTCACCAACTGTGATTTCTAAGGCCTCCTTCAATGAAGAAATCTCAGCCTCCATCTCAAAAGCAATCAATTCAAACTTCTCGTAGTCATTCTGAAACAACGTATGCTAGATATGTTAATGAAATACAAAAATCACTTGATGCTGAATGTGTACAGCAAGATAAAAAATGGTTTATGAACTAATGATAAATTCGTTTAATAAGACGAACCCTCTGAAAGCTGTAAATACCAAAATATTTTTATTTAATAAAGAATTATTAATTTTAAATTAACGTTTATTAAAATTTTAATTAATTTAAAGACTTATTTGAGTTGCCGAGAACAAATTTATTTAAAAAGAAATAATTTCTCAAAATAAATAAGTTATTATTATATTTATGGGAAAAAAAGATTTAAAGATATAAAATTATAATTAGCTAGAGAAATATAAATAGTTATTAATTAGAAAACTTGGAAACGACCTGACTCAGCCCCTTACATCAGTTTAATTGAAGAAACAACATGTGTCAACCAAACACGCTCAAAAGCTTGAATTCGCCAGATGCATAAAGCCTGGAAAGCATTGGCGACAAGAGAGGCTCATTTGGTAAAAGTGGAAAAAATCATAAAGTTTTTCTTCCCTCTTTTCTATTGAAAGCCAAACCCTAACCCAAAGCTTATAAGTTTTTCCCTCACTTTGATTAATCCAAGTTAACTCGCAAAGATTTATTAAGAATTTCACTATATTTACTTCTATAAAATTAAAATGTTATAACTTGATAGAATAATAATGTACGATTAAGATAGGATATATAATTTAAATTGATGAGAAAGTAACTGATCGGTGGTTTGATGTTGGAGGATTTGCCACTGACCGGTGGTTTGATGCTTGTCAATGGTGGTCGTCAAAGAGAAGAAGATTCGATTGACGTAATCATCGACGGTGTGATCGATCTCAAAGTTGATGCCGAAGAAGGGAGATCTAAGCACATCTATTCGTCCTTAAATTATCGTAGACGAATCCATGATCTTGCACGGGATCGGCCATACATGAGTAAGGAGGCCGGGGGAAGGTCGTGTGCCTTCTCTCTTAGATGATGTATCAAGCAAGGGAGAAGAAAATAAAGGGAGGGGGAGCTAGGGTGGTCGGCCAAGGCTAGGAGAGGGACCATGATGCAGGACTACATGCGAAGTAGGAAGTTTGCCCAAAATAAATTCAGAACAATTTCAGATTTTAGTTATTAGTGATTGAAACAACAAAGTAAAACTAATAAACGGTCACTTCCGTTTAGGCTAAACTACGCAAGAGGCTAAACAAAATCAAAACACGTAGGGAAAATAAAGCATTGCATGCGGAGTAGTTTCCAACTTAACCTTTGTTTAACAAAGAGGTCCAAAAGCAAAGAAGTAACAAACCTACGAATACTAGTGGATGGCGATAAGTAGACACAATTTCTTGCTTGAACACTTCTCATGAAGAAAGTAGAATTTGAAAGTAAATGAGTCAAAGAAGAAAATCACCTTCTCGGAGAAACGTCGTGATTCACCACGTACCTTCCAATAGTTACTCCTTCAACGACTATTACGGGAGGACGGAATTTTTAGAGATCCGTCAATGATTGAACTCACGCCGGCGAAGGAAATTTGAGAAGATCCACTACCCCTTGGTCGTCGGACGAGAAGCCGGAATCAAACGCCGGATCGGCCATGCATCATTCATGTAAGGAGAGAACGAACTCGAGAGGGAGAGGAAAAGAAATGGCAGTGGGAAGAAGGAAGAAACTAGGGTTATGAGAGAACTAGGTAGGGTGGAGGAAAAGTGTTGTAATCTCCATGCCCAAATTAATCTTAGATTTTTAAATAGAAGTGGAGAGAAAAATCTGAAATTTGAATTTCAAAAGACAAGTAATTAGGAGCCTTAATGTAGCATTAAGGAAGTGGGGACCATATGGGAGGCCGGCGGCATGGTGAGAGGGGAGGGGAGTGGGTTATGTGGAGAAAAATAAAACTCTTTCCTATTTGGTCCCTTTAATTTAGGAGAAGAAAAATTCCACCCAAATCAAATTTGAATTATGTCATGAAAGAGGTTTAATACATTCCTAAAATAGCTCTCCAATTTAGGAAACTTTTGAAATTCAAATTTTGAATTTCAAATGAAGAAAATAATTTCCCAAATAACTTGAACTCTTTAGGTAAGCATCAAGGTGACATTAACTCCTCATCCATGGAGGCAAGCGAGGTGGCCGGCGGTGAGCATGGCTTGGGGAGTGGGTAGAAAACAAATTAATGGAGAAAGATGGCTTGGATTGGTGGTTAGGTTGAAGTGAGTTTTGGTGGGAGGGGTATGGGGCGGTGGTTGGTGGTGGAAAGGGCCGGCGGTGGAAGTGGAGGATAGGGGAAGAATGAAGGAGAGAAAACCAAGAGCCACCGGGAGTGACTGTTGGGTACGACGGGTGGCCTCTCCTAGGCTCCACCTAGCTCTCAAACTCTCTCTCAAGCTCTCACAAAAGCTTCAAGAAGACAATTGCAGGAAGATTTCTTAATATCATTCATTAGCTTCAAAAGTACAAGAGGAAGGCTTTAAATAGCCTATTACAATGACATAAAGCAAAAGGACTCAGATACCCTCAAGGGGCTACATGATTCAATACCTCAAGCAAGGGTAAAAAGGAAAAATGCTGAAATAAAATACATCAATAAGAAAATAACAATACTAAAATCAAAAGTACATCGGAATAAGAAAATGTCAATATAAAAATCAAAAGTACATTGGATAAATCGTGGCCGTAGATCTACAATCACGTCGACGGTAGACTTTCAAACTGATGTCCCCATCAAACCAACTTTTAATTTCAGATTTTAGGGTTTGGTGAGGGAGGAAAAATAAATTCAAAAATCTGAAATTTACTTTGAGGGATTTTTGTGGGTTTTAAGTGGGTTGTAGGAAGATGGATGTGGGTGGGGATTAGTATTGCATTTGGGCTTGCCATTGGGCCTTAGAGGGTATGGAAGTGGTTGATTTGGATTTGTTGTAGGTTGTAAATGGGGAATAGGGTCTGTTTGGGTTCCGTTGAGGACAAGGAAGCTTGAGAAGCTATGGATGTGGACAAGGAGGCTTGAGAAGCTATGGATGTGGGCAGTTTGCTGAGAGATATCAAATGGATGGGTCGGGAAGCTTGTAGAGTCAAATCGAGCGGCTCATGTTCAAAAGAATCGGGAAGAGGTAGAAGAGGGATTCGGTCGTAGGTCAACCGCAAGCATGGAGGGTTCGGCTTTTTGAGATGGGTTCGGGTGAGGGTGTCAGACTCAGCTACAGCGGCAAGAGGGCAAGGTTGGAGGCTCTGGTGGTCGCCTGGATTTGGCTTGAAGAGAGAAGAATTGGGTCGGGTGCAGGTATGGCTTACGGTAGATGAAAACTCAGTCTGTAGATTAGAGGAAGTCGGATTTGGCTTGCGGCGGGGTTGGTAAAAAGAGATGGGTGGGGAGAGGGAGATGAAGGCTTGAGGAACTGTGGGTTTCGGTTGGTAGTGAACAGAGCAGGAGGGAGAGGAAGCTTGTGTATGGAGGTTTGCGAATTGGAGAGGAAGCGTTGGGTTAAAGGCTTCAGACGGGTCTTGCGAATGGGCTGGAGGGGATCTGATGGAGCTCATGCTGGGAAGAAGAAGAGCGGAAGAAGGAGATGAGGGCTTTGCTTCGTGTTGCTTTTAACGACTACGGGAGAAGAGTCGAAACAAAGCACGCGAGTATGGGCATCTGACTCCAGCGCTGATTTGCACATGTAATGAGTATGTGGACGTGGCAGGATGTGGTTTTAGCAGGATACACGAATGATTTCGGTGCAGGTAATCATTCAAAGCACATTTTTTATTATTTCATCCTTTTTTTTTGTTCTGCCGCTGGGGTCAACAACACTCATCCAAACAACTCCAAAGTATTCCTTTTACACCGCATTCCTTTTACACTGCATTCTTTTTTAGACAACCAAACAGCCTCTAAACCAAACCAAAAAAAATCATTCACCTATATTTATTGTACACTCATTCAAACAACTTCAAAATATTCCTTTTGCATTACATCACTTTTACTATGCATTCCTTTTTAGCCAATCAAACAACCCCAAGATGAAATCTTTTAAGCAAAAAACGTCAAAAAAAATGTAGGGGGTATATAACAATAAAATAGAAGAACAATTACCTGCAAATTTTGTTGTGCTTCAGCCTTTAAACCCCTCACTGTATTAAAGTCAGACCTCGATTCATGCCTTTTATCTAAAAGCGAGTCACGCTTCAAAATATCACGTTCTAGAATGGCTCGTTGACCTTGCAAGTTTTTGATCTCTCGTTCAGCCTGAGCTTTCTCACCCTTCAATAGAAAGATTTGGCACTTGAAATTGGAGAAAAAAAATCATAATCATCACAAAAAACTATACATAATTAACTACCTCGAGCTTAACTTTGTCCTGGATAATATTCTTTAGCTTGCACTCTGTATCCTTCAATTTTGATTTGCTCTTATCAAGTTCCTTCCTCAACGCTTCATTCTCCCGTGTCAAAGAAGAAGATGATAATTGAGATACTTCCTTCTGAAGACAAAGCACCAGGGAGAGGAGCTCATCCTTCTCCATATCATGCCGAAGACATTGATCCTACAACAAATTCAACTTGGTCAACATAGATTGGAAACATCATACAAGAAAAATAAAAGAGAAAAGGCTAGGCATAGACTAACCACAGCAACCTTCTCCCTGTTCTCCAAATCAGACGTAAGGTCACGGATTTGCTTCTGATGGTCATATAACTGGTTGCTCAAGAGATTCTGAAGTTTAATGAAAGTTTTTCTTAAAATAGGAGGCATTTTAATCTATTCTAGTGAAACAAGGAAAAAAATGAGCAGAAGATACCTTCTCCAATTCAACTTCTTTAAACTTCTTGCTCATAAAACTATTGATGCTTTCATGGCCTGAAATGAGGGACTTCAATTGCACCATACACGACCTAGGAAGCATCCTAAAACCCTTAGAAAAATTAAAAAGAAATATCTAATTAGAATAAGCCTCAGAACTAAAAACCTTCATGCATACAAAGGTGAAAATAGGCCATCAGTGAACATAGATCAAGATTTAGTTAAGGGATGATGTAAATACATAATTTAACTATGTAAAATGAGGATATTTTCTCCATAATTTTCAACGACAAGGAAGTCATTCATATGCCGTGATTCATAATCAATGATTAGCAGGCCTTAAGGCTTTTCATAAAGGAATATCTATGCCACCATGCTTTCCTAGGTAAGAGCTAAATCACAAGTGCAGCCACAAGATGGAAAACAAATAATTGTTCATCAGCACCAAGCAAACTACGAAGGAGCATTATTTCTTTAAAATATCAAGCAATGAACGTGTTTCATTCACTGATGCACAGCATTTAGACGTACAAAGGTTCTATATAACAACGGAATACAATGGACGACACTATTTTTAGCAAAGAATCAATAGCATATCATTGAGGAAAGCAAAAAGCCCTTATCATTTAAATTATGATAGAGCAATCTCATTTCATTCTCAACAATAATACCAGGCTGATCAGTCTGATAACAATGTTATAGAACCATCATGCATGTAAAACCCGAAAATGTTGATCGTCGCACGCATTTCGATGCACCGCTATGAAATTAGGCGAAATTTCAAAGTAGTCGGAATTCGACGCAATAAATTTTATAAAATTCTACGCGAAAATTCGATCGAAATGATATAAAGAACCTATATCAAATGTTGCACGAATTTAAAACTACAATTAATCGAAGATGTTTAAGTAAACTTTAGCCCTTCATATCATTACCCTTCATGAGCTATTAGGGAAGAATTTGAAAGAGGGGCACATGCGTCCTTTTAGTAATACCCCTCCCTCATTTAGCCAAAGCACCTCTAAGGGACCGAAATATTTCGGTCCCTCTTGTATTTGTTCAGCCGCACGCGTGAAGAGAGGGGGAGGACGTCGGTTGGCTCGCGAAAGCTGGCGACCGGCGGTGGTTTCCGGCAATTTATTTGGGAAATATCAAGAGGAAGGCTTGGAAAAGTCTAAGGTATGATTTCTTGAAGTAAATTCTAAGTTTTTCATGTGATTTTCTTTGAAGGAGATTTCTAGGATTTCTCCCAAAATTCTTTTCCTCCAAAATCTCTTTACAAGAATGATTACCCTTGCAATTAAGAACGTTTTTATGAATTAAAAATCAAAATTTCATGGGAAAAATTTTGAGTTTAGAAATTAGGTTTTGATGAAACTTTAAAATCTTTTGGAAAGAATGTTAGGGAAAACTTAGGAACGATTTTTAGCCATCAAAATGCAATGTTTCTTCAAAAAATTTTAGATTTAAAAAAATTAGGATTCGTCCTATATTGAAAATTTTTTAAGAGTACTTAACAAAAGTTATTCCAAATAACCTTAGGAGGGCTCTAATGGTGAAAATTGGGAATTTTTCACAATTTAATATTTTTCTCTAATTATTAAATTTAATAATCCAAAAATTTAATACCCTAAAATTATAATTAGGTAAGAGGGATGTTTTAACATGCAATTTTAATGAAATAAGTGAAGAATTAGGTTTCCAAAAAATTGGAATTTAGGTAAATCAGAAAATAACATTTAAATTACTTTTAATTAAGGAAAATATTTAATATAAATACATTAGATTGTGGTTATGTTAATCAACATTAATAAATATATGATAAAAAAATACTTTAGGTTATGGGTAGGTTAATGAGCATTAATGATCTTAAGAAGAGTAATTAATTAATGGAATGTGTAGGGATAGTGATGTATAAACGATATGTAATGATCTAAAAAGGCTTATGTTGTATTGTAACCTCTTTGTTCTTGAAAAGAGGAAGTGTTAAGAAGAGACCAGTGAGACGACGGTTTCAACAAGTGACATTTGAGGTAGGAACACTTTACAAACTCATATTCCTTTATATTATGTTTTGAAATGTCTAACACTTAGAAATACATATTAGATATTCTCTTTATTTGATAACAATGCATATTAGATGTTCTCTTTAATTGACAGCAATGCATAGAAATATCTTTCTTTGATAGCAATGCACATTAGATGTTCTTTGAAATGCAACCTTTCATGTAAACTTGTCTACTAATCAATGCATATGATTGATATGAGATTGCTACACTATATTTATATGTTTCTATGAAAAGAATGTTTGAATGATTGTAAATGTTGAAAGCGGAGTACCAAATATGGTGCAAAAGCACAATACGGCTCTTATGAGCAATATGGCTCTTCAGGGCAGAAGAGGAAAGGAAGATAATATGGCCAAAAATATGTTTGTGTACCTGATCAGTACACTTCTGATACTCCGATACGGTTGTATATGTTAAAGAATAAGCAAGTATATTAGAACATTTATGACAAAGGACATATGAAATAGATGAAAGGATATGCATATGAACTATAGCATGTGACATTCAGTAAAACAATCATGACATTTCATAATCATATAGATGAGTTAATTTACATTGAACATGCATATTGAATTGCATGAATATTTTCCACGGGTAAAAAATTTATCCTAGAATTCTCAAAATTATTTTACCATAAGAATATTTCAGAAGAATAGCAAAAGACGCATGAATTTTTGCTGCCCAAAAGATAAGTAAAAATCAATATAAGAGAGGGAAAATAAAGACAAGGTCTAAGGAATCCAAGTAACGCAGGGGCATAGCCATACAAATGAATTATGAATTACCTCTAATATTTCAGACAAGATGGAGCAGAACTGGAAGCACTCTTCGAAGGTAGCTAAAACATTATTATATCCGTGCCTTAAAAGATCAAAATGTGAAGCAATCTCTGCAATTGAAATGGAAAGCTTGACAGTTGTGTCACAGTTGATTTCCTAGAACACATCAACACCATAAATGTTATTTTAATATATTCTCTTCCATCATTTTCTGTATTCATTAAACTGAAGCTGAAAGATAATACAAAATAGTAAGCAAAAAGGGGGAAACAAGTAGCAATGGTTGAACCAAGAAAAAATAGGTAAATAAAAGCAGAGCTATATTTGCATGGTATAAGGGGAAATGTTTTACTTACAGCAAAACGTTCATTGTGCAACGAACACAGTTGCTTATGGTTTGTTCTAGCCACTTCACGTGCAATCCTGGCATCTTGATCGAGCTACCGTGCAAACCAACAGGGAGAAAAAGAGGTTACCAAGAGTACATGCAACACAGTAGGGACTGTTCAAGTGAAATAAAACACTTCACTCACAGGATAGAGGATATAAATGTAGCTAAACTTTTTTTTTTTTCAAAAACTATAAAATAGGCACAAAACCATGAAATAATTCTAGATTTAGCGAATAGCATTTAATGCAATGTAAAGACCCAAAAAAATATCCAGTTAACTAAGAAGAGTTAGTATTAATTTAGTTGTTCACAAAATATTACAGATAATTGATCAAGCCGTTGAGAAATAATTGATGTAAAAATGGACATTTTGTTAAAAATGAAAAAGTTCTAACTTTATATATTTTAATAATACAATTTTGAGAGAAAATTATATGCAATAAATTTTATGGAATATTCATTATAATTAACTAGCAAATTATATATAAATCGTAAATATAGTAAAAAAAAAGGAACCGATCTAATGTCAGTTAAATTGAACCAACAAAAGGGGTAGATTTTGCATCTTTAACTTGTAAATACCTAAATTTTATTAGGTAATGTGCAATTTTGGCTCAATTCAATTATACCTAAAATATCAACTTTCACAAAAATCATCAATGAGAATATAATTGTGTTCTAGACATCAAATGGATCAATTTGATAATATAAAAATACATATTAATTTGCAATGAGAGAGTTATGGAATCGGTTTTGATTTTAAATTTTTTTCTAAAGTTTTCCATTTACTGTTTCTTTATTAATTTTACTGTGGCAGGGTGTTAAAAACTTCAGAAACACCACTTAAAGCTGCATGCATTGGTTATGTAAAACCTGCAATTCGTCATTTAAGTGTGTTGCACGCATATCGATGCGCCGCGACGAATTTAAGAGAAATTTCGATGTCGTCGGAAAATTACGAAATAAATTTTATTAAATTCGTCACGAAATTTCAATCGAAACGGTATAAAGAACTTATATCTAATTTCGCACGGTTTTGAAATGAAATTCTCCGAATTCCGTTTAAGTAACATTTGGCCTTATATACCCATTTTGCCCTTCATGAATTAAAAGAAACAATTCTAGGGATAAGGGCACATGCGTAAAAGTCATTCCTTAAGTCCTCATAAGTCTAAGGGACCGAATATTTCGGTCCCTTGTGTGTTTTGTTCGGCCGTGAGAAAGGAGCGGGCGGAAGAGGAAGGAGTCGACGGGAGGGCTCAATCGGCGGCTCTCCGGCGACGGAATTAGGGGGAAAACGAAGGAAAAAGACTATAAAAGATAAAGGTAAGCTTTTTATGCAAGAAAAATGAAAGTTTTCTTGAGTTTTTGCATAGAGAAAATAATAGGGTTTGTGTTTTTTTTAGAAATTTCTTTAGTAAATCTTTAGGGTTTGCTTTGATCTAAGTTATCCTACCCTACATGTCAAATTTTTTAAGCCAAAAAACTAAATACGAAATTTAGGGTTTCTCTTTTTGATGCAATTTTTATGGGAATGCCTAGAAGAGCATAAGGGAAGACTTTTGGTATCAAAAATGTAATTTTTCATTAAGCGAATTTGAGTGGAAAAATTAAGGAAAGCTTAGGGTTTTTCCTAACATAGGGATTTTTGTATTGCATGTTCACTAAAGCCATTTTAAATGATTTAGAGAGGTATCTAAATAAAAGAAATTGCAATTTTGAGAAGAAAAATAGTTTTCTTAATTATTTTATGATTTAATTCCGAAAATAATAATGATTTATTATTATGTACAAGAAAGGGGATAGTTTTAGAAGGACTTAGAATGATTTGGATGAATTTTTAGGTTTCTATAATTTATATTTTATTTAAATCCGAAATTTATTAATAAAAACATCAAAGTTTGATAGGAGGTTGATGATGTTGTACCTTAAGAATAGGTGTAGGAAGATTATAGGAAGCTTCTAAAAGAATTAGAAATTTTATTTTGGCAAGGTTTAAGTTAAATTATTTTTCTTTAGGTGGTGGCAAGAAGAAGAAGAGTAATTAAAAAGGAAAAGAGGAGAAATTCATAATTTTTGGAGGTAGGAATTCTTTTCCTTACGTGTTCATTTGTTATTTCATGTTATATCATTTTATAAGTTAAAGCCTTTATGACATGTTTTATAGAAATGGAATATTTATTACACATGCAAAATACTTCATTGTTTCTTTCATGCTTAAGTGCTTAAGTGTAATCATTACATGTATCAAATTTATGTTTAAAGATTTCATGTTAAACATTTTATATGAAAAGGAATGAATGTATGTTCATATGAAAAGATTGTATATGATGGATTACGGAGTACCAAAGACGGCGCAAAAGCACATTATGGCCCTTGGGGCAAAAGAGGAAAAATGAAGTAATGGCCAAAAGAGGTTTGTGTACCAGATCAGTACACCCTTGGTACTCCGGGACGGTTGTATAAAGTAATAAGTAAGCATTTTGAGACGACATTCATTTCATACATATCAAATGACATATGCATATGGTACCTAAATGATTTCTCATTCATATGACATAAACAAGATAGCATGACTAGAAAAAGAAAAGCATGACCCCTTTAGTTTAAAAATGTCATTTCATTTTTAGTCATATGAGCATGTTTAGGATTAGAAATTTCTACTGAGCGTAGCTCACTCTCTAGTTTTGGAAAATTTTCAGGAGAACCCTCTCATAAGTGATGGCGGATCACCCGAGGTTTACTTATAGTCGTCACGCAACGGGTGACAGGTTTTTTTACTGTTTTCTTTAGTTGTAGTTCTTTCCTTTTTTTTTTATGGCATGCAGAGCATGAGTAGATATAAGTTGCCATCTTGTAAATTATGAACACCTGTGTAAGTGACTCTACCTGTGGAATGGAACTAAAATATTTAGAGGCGCTTTTTGTTCTTGAAGATTGTTTAGAAAATTTTTGTTTACATGAAAGATGAATAGTGTTTGTGTAATATCAAAAATCTGCTCCAGGATCGTCCAGGACGATCTGGATCGTCCTGGGACGATCAGTTGTAATTTTGCTCCAGAATGTGCCCAGATTTATGTTTGTTCCGCTGTGATTGATGATAAATAGTAGCTCTGTGTTTGTGTGTCTGTTGAGTTGAGTAATTTGGAAGATTAAGTTCAGGAACCAATTCCAAAGCCAGATCCTGAATAAAAGATTTTGTCGCGGCCCGGTGAGAGCGGGGTCCGTCCCGGATCGGGTCGGGTCGTGACAGTTTGATCTGAACGTCCGATTTCGTTCCCGTCTCGTACATACGAGCTAACAGGGCTGGGTCGTGACAGGTTATGGCTAAGGATAATTAAGTAATTATTTCATTAATTAGCCATTTAATCTTTTTTTCATACCAAACTGAGGCTCTTCGTCTATTGCAGCTCTTGATTCTATTTGGTAGGGTTTTATTTGTTTTGCCTTTAAACCATTGATTTAGTAGATTCCTTAGTTTCTTCTTCTTTTACTTTCTTTTAATTGAAATTTTATTATTTTCTTAAATAGGTGCAGTGTTGTAACTAGTTGCCTCCATGTGTCATTTGCTTTTCTATAAACACTGCTTATTCTTTTGATAGAGGGGAAGTTTTTGCTTTGGATAGAATTATTTCCGGTTTCCTGAAATTAGAACGAGTTCCCTCACTTTAAGGTTGATTTTCGCTTGCCTTGGATGGACATGAGACCATGAAGCCATAGTGGGGTCCATGATCGCACCAAGATAGGTTGTCTAGAGTTATATCATTTCTCCTTTGTGTTGCCGGCGTATTCATCAAGTTTCCAGCAATCGAAAATTGATTTTATTCTAGCGTCAATAATTGGTCATATTTCTTCTCCTCAGCTCAGCTCACAAATAGTAAATTTCTTATTAAGCATATCGCTACAATTCATCCCCAAATAGACCCTCTCCAATAAGGACGTGATACTTGCCCTCAAACCAATGATTTTTGCCAGCAAATAGCAACCCTATTAAAATGCTATAAACTCTGATGAATTTGACGTAAAACGGCACCATTAAATTACAATCACATCCAAATCCCACAAATTCTCTAATGGTTAAAAATAATTTAATAATGAATCATAGGGTGAACTTAATCAGGCACAAAACTCTCTATCAGCTAAGGTCGAATTAAATTTGTTCCTTTAGAAAACATCCACCTTAGATCTACAAGTTATCCTTAAATGAAAGAACTCATAGTTGCTGCAAGGATCTTTTGATCAAATAAAGTTAACTACCTACTCTAATTAGGTAGACTATGGACGATGACACCATGGGATTTTAATCAAGATCGTTATCATTCCCACGTCATTTGCTTTAAGTGTAAGGTCATAAATTTCAAATTCCAATATCAAATTTTCTATTATGATGTGTTGCAAATCTATTTTCATGACTTATGTTTTGATGATTGACAAACACTATTGATTCTCTTGGACTACATGTTACTTCTAACTTTTCAGGAATCGAAGATCGGACGAACAAACGAAGCCAGTTCAAGATTGCGTAGGTTAGGATTGTGTCAGTCTGTACTTTGCCTTTTCTCTTCATGAGTCTATTTGTAATATTCAAAGAGACTGATGTTAAATAACCCTACACACACACACTTGAGAGACTTAGAAATTCTGTTTTTACTCAAATCGGCCAGGACGATATTTACATCGTCCGGGACGATCTGGCTTAAAACAAAAATTCCATTAGGGATTCTTAATTAAGGCAGCCGTCATTAACAGATCAGCTTGGACGATACGTGTATCGGCCAGGACGATAAGCTCAAAACAGAAAGAAATTGCCGCCATAAATAATTAAGGTATTCTGTATTTTTGGTAATCCGCAAGGACAATCTTGGATCGGCCTGGACGATATTTTACAATTATGTCTTAATTGATCAGACAAATCAAAGAAGTAATTAAGGATGATTGATACGATCATATCGGCCTGGACGATCTCAGGATAGGTCGGAACGATAAATATCAGCTAGCTTGAATTCAGGGCGATGCTCTGGACGATTTTCCTCAAATTTGTATTGATCG